AACATATCTGATCAGTCACTACCAGACAATGACCAAAAAGGAAATTAGCAGCAAACTTAAATCATTAATCTCCCACAAAAGCCAGAGCTCAGATATAGTCTCGAAAGTCATCTTCGGGAATTTTTTGGGCAGGAAATTCGATATACACACAAACATGGGTGGGATTGTGTAATTATATAAACCACTATTGTAACATAAAAGGGTGTAACTATCTTCCCTTCTCTTCCCTCTTTCATCAAATTCAGGTTGGTGACAATTTATGAAATATGAAATCTAACAGCAACAGATAAATTATAGAAGCAGCAAAAGTGAAAGACAGTAAATAAAATCAACACACAATTAAGTACCCTAACACCATAGAAACGTGAGCATACCGGAATTTTTTGGGGGTTGACCTTCTTTGATCCCTGGCCGATTTTCTTGACTTGATATAATTTTTTATTTATTTATTTGAATAAACGAAGGATCTAAGTACCTAATCAAACATAAATACATAACTTACCCAACAAATTACAAACAGATCCATTACATGTGCCAAAAGAAGGAAAAAAAAATATTCCCAGTAGATTCAACATCTAACAGTGTTGTAAGAAATCAGAATCCTCAAGACATTGAGAAGCTACAATCAAGAAAACCGACCACATCCAAATATACAAAGAAAATTCGTATATAAACTTACCAGTTAAATTCTTTAAATTCCCAAAATAGTGATTGGTCAGAAACTAAATAGTTCAACACTTCAACTCGCGTGGAGAGGATATTCGACTGATCGACGGAGGACACGTTGGTGGGGCTGGGCTGGAGGACGCGTTGGCGGGGCTGGGCTGGGCTGGGCTTATTTGACCCTGTCCGATTTTTTCTTCGATCCTGTCCGATTTTGTTTTCATAGAGAGAAGGACGTAGGTAAATCAATAAGCAGTTGGTTTAGGAATGTATTATTAATATTAAATTGCAAAATTAATTTGATAAAGTAAGGTTAATTCAGGCAAAACATAATTTTACAGATTCATTGGCTCTTTTAGAATAGTAGAGATAGAGATGGCTTGTGTAAAAATTATTTTTTTTTATACCAAATAATTTAGGTTTGGATTACCATATATATACAAATATTTAGTACATTTAAACCATTCCATATAAATCTATTTATTATTTTTTTTTAATAATGTGCATACAATCTTACTTTTCAAATTGTGTGCTTTCTTCATATTATCCCCTTATGTGTTTTAAATAAAAATATTATAAATAAAATTAATGATGTATATAAATTAGTTTTCAGAATTTTAAATAATACTGTTAATTCACTTAGTTATTTATTATAAATTGTTATATATTGTTCTTTATTTATTTTTTCCAACTTCAACAAAATATTTTATTTTTTAATTTTTATTGTACATTTAATTATTTTTATCAACCACCCGTGTAATACGCGGGTATTGTACTAGTATATAATATAATATAATCGTTTGTATGTTTCTGCTGAATAAACCAATTAAGCAATACTTTTCCAAGTAGCCACAACTACTACTAGGGGTGAGCATGGGTAGGTACGGTTCGGAGATTGATAAATCTCCAGAACCGAACCGAAGTTCGGAGATCACTAAAATTCGATCTCCAGAACCGTACCAAAAAATCGGTTCGGTCCGGTTCGGAGATTTTTATTTTTCGGTTCGGTTCGATTCGGTTTTCGGGGCTATCGAAACGGTTCGGCTCGGTTTGGTTCGGTTCGGATATTCGGAGATTTCTTATCATTTTTTAAATTTTTTTGAATGACCACCTAGTTATATTTTATTTTTTATATGTTTCTTTTAAATCCAACATTCATCAATACTTCATCATACTAATGATTTTATTTTTAAATCAACTTTAGAAGTAACCCTAAATTTTAGTTAAGACTAAATTCTACTAACCTTGAAAATTTAAATTCAAACAAAATATAATACAATTTTATATTAAAGTAATAATTATTTAACCTTCCATACCCTGTTCGTTATAAGATAAACTAAGGGTAAGTATACAACTTTAAGTAAAGCTTATTTTTTTAAAAAAATCTTTAACCTTTCATTCCATTTATTTTTTTTTAAACATGAGAAATTCAATTGTAGATCAAGTATTACTAAACATGAAATGTAAGTGAATCTTAGTTGTTATTACTATATTTTATTTGCATTTCAAAAATTCTCAAATTATATAGGATCAAAGTTGACATAAAATATATTAATAACACGCATCTATTTTTATAATTCGGTTCTTAATTTCGGTTCTTCGGTTCGGTACGGTACAGGACGGTTCGGTTCGGTTCTCGGTACGGATATTTATGAAATCTCCAGAACCGTACCAATTATTTTTTCGGTTCGGTTCGGTTCGGAGAAAGTCAAACGGTCAACGGATATTTTTCGGTTCGGAGTGATTTCGGTTCGGTTTTCGGTACGGTTCGGAATTCTCCGAATCCCATGCTCAGCCCTAACTACTACTACACTATATCCATCTCTATAGTAATCGGACTACTATCAATCGCGTATGAAGCCAAAACTTCGTAACTCAAAATTTTGAGGTTGGTCGCCCTCAAAATAAATTAAATTATAATGTCCCTAGCTATCCATCGCCCTGCACTGCCTCTTTCCACTTAGATTTCCTTGAAATCACTAGACTTTGATTCTCATGATCATTCGCCAGCTCAATATCCAACACCTTCCAAAAAATTTCTTGCTCAGGTCGAAGCATCCAAACAGCATATCTTGCTCGTTCTATCATGGACACCACCTGCTCGATGAAATTCCCGACCCACCGTCCATCACCCCTTTCATGCTCAATCTCATTCATCAAAATCGCCAGTCTGAAGCACTCTCTCTTTTCAAAAGACACATCACCGAAATCGATGAATCAGACATTGCACTTGCTGCCAAGGCCTGCATTGGCCGCCCGAAACTCGGCCCTCAAGTTCACGGTTTTGCCATTATTTCTGGTTTCACATCATATGTCTCCGTGTGTAACTCCTTGATGAACATGTACTGCAAGTCGGCCGATTTTGGGACGGCTCTGCGTATATTAGAGCACGCAAAGAACCCAGATACCGTTTCTTACAACACGGTGCTCTCTGGCTTTGAAAATCACATAAATGCGCTCGTTTTCGCTCGTGAGATGCATTCGGCAGAAGTCCCGGTTGATGCGGTGACTTGTACTACCGTGCTTGCTCATTGTACAAACGGCCTCGAGTTCGGTTTTGGATTCCAACTGCATTGCCTGGCGTTGAAGTCCGGGCTGAAGACCGAGACTTTCGTCGGGAATGCACTCGTGACATTGTATTCCAAATGCAGCATGATAGCAGACGCTCGTTTAGCGTTCGATGAAATTCCCCAAAAGGATTTGATCTCGTGGAACGCAATTCTCTCGGGATACGTTCAGGACGGCGGCCACGGGCTAAAAGCCCTCTCGGGATTTCTTGAGTTGGTTAGAAGGGGTCTATGGCCGGACCACACCTCATTCACAAGCGTAATATCGGCCTGCGGCCACGGGAGAGACTTGGAATTCGGGAAGCAAGCTCACGCATTCTCCGTTAAAAGAGGGTATGGCTTTCACGTCTCGGTTTGCAATGTCTTGATGTCGATGTATTCCAAGTGTGGGAACAAAGAAGACGCGCGGTTGGTTTACAAGAACATAGCCAACCCTAATGTGGTCTCCTTCACAACCATGCTCTCCATAGACGAAGAGGACGCTGTTAATTTCTTCCGTGAGATGACGAGACGCCAAGTTCACCCGAACGACGTCACGTTCGTGGGAATAGTACACGCCGTAACAGAGCACGGTATGATAAGACAAGGCATAACGGTCCACGGACTCTGCATAAAGTCAAACTTTCTTTCCGAAACCCACGTGGCCAATAGCTTCATAACCATGTACGGTAAATTCAAGCTAATGGACGAGTGTATCAAGGTTTTCGAAGAAATCGGGTGGTTGTGCAGAGAGATTGTGACGTGGAACGCCTTCATATCCGCCTACACTCACAACGGCATGTACCAAGAAGCTCTCCACGCGTTCCGGTTGGCCTCGAACGAACTTCTCCCAAACGCCTACACGTTCGGAAGTGTACTAAGCGCGATCGCCTCGTCCGAGTCAATTTCCCTTACGCAGGGCCAAAGGTGCCACGGCTGCATACACAAACTCGGGCTCGACCGCGACCCAGTCTTGTCGGGCGCTCTCCTCGACATGTACGCAAAGCGCGGGAGCATACACGAGTCGTGCAAAATCTTCGACGAGCTGGCGCAGAAGAGCGAGGTGGCATGGACGGCCATCCTCTCGGCCCACTCAAGGCACGGGGACCATGCCTCGGTCATGGAGTGTTTCGAGAAGATGGTCTTGGAAGGCGTGAGGCCCGACTCGATCACGTTCCTCGCCGTGCTGACGTCGTGTGCCAGAAACGGGACAGTTGACTCGGGAGTCGCGATATTCCGGTCGATGGCGACCGAGCACTCGGTCGAGCCTTGCGCGGAGCATTACTCGTGCGTCGTGGATATGTTGGGCCGGGCGGGCCGGCTGGAGGAGGCTGAGGAGTTTGTGGGCCGGATTCCGGGTGGGCCCGGGGTTTCGGTGCTGCAGAGCCTTCTTGGGGCGTGTAGGGTTTATGGGAATGTGGAGATGGGGGTTAGGGTTTCGGAGACACTTATGGGGATGGAGGGCGGTGGGTCGGGGTCGTACGTGTTGATGTCCAACATTTTTGCGGAGAAGGGGAAGTGGGAGAGGGCGGCTAAGGTGAGGAGGATGATGAGGGAGCGAGAGGTGGCAAAGGAGGTGGGGTTCAGTTGGGCAGATGTTGGTGGGTCGGGGTGCTTGCATGGGTTCTCGTCGGGGGACAAATCTCATCCGCTGTCTCACGAGATATGTGTGATGGTTGAGTTGCTGGGGTCGGAAATGAAGAGAAGAAGGGAGACGATGATGGAGGATATGATTATCGTTTGAAGCCGTTTTGGTGCTTTTTAATGTGTAAACTAATGGTGTGGTTGGAGATGAACAGAAGAGAGGTTAGAGAGGTTGACAATTTCGATCTATTTATGGAAATTAAATGGACCACTGTGCCTTTTCTAGTAAATGTACACAAGCTGGATAGCTTGGCAAACACGACCATTCAGCCATTTTTTTCTGGAATTCTGGTTCAATCATGTTCAAGTTCAGACGTGCACGTGTTGTGAATATAAATGCTAAAAATGTAGACAAAGATAAACTTCTTGCTATTGCTCTAGACTCTGGTGCAGATGATGTCATTGACCCCTTGATTGATGAAGATGGCATGGAAGAAGATTTGGAAAGGTATACGTGAAAGGCATTTTTTTATTTGGCCCGAATGTCATTTCTTTTGTTGGGAATCTCTTCTAAATTATTCCATGCTTCTTTCCAGTTCCCATGCTACATTTTAAACCCTCCCTTAATTGACATGAAAGATTTATTGAAACCACCTAATATTTTGCCTGAATTCTTTAAATATTGCTAATATGAAATAGCTCCATTTTGTCAACAGGCTTATTTTTTGATATTTAGAAAATATGAGGTATGTAAATGTAAGTAGGGATTGTAGTGTTAAGAAAAGTGCGAGGCTGATGTAACATTATGGATATAATTTGCAACTGTCAAACTTCGCTTTTATTTATTTTTAGAATATCTTTTGAGGGATGGGTTGAGGTTGGGGGTGGTATACTTAACCAAGCTACGGTAGTTTCTGAAAGGTGACATTTACATTCTTAATATGATGCATATATACAATTGACAATCACTGTCGAGCTGTCTTGTAATAGTTTGCCATTGATGTTTTATAGCTTCACATAATAATTTTATTTTTTGGTCCATTCTTATCCATGTAAAATAATCAAATGAGCTCCACACTTCAGGTTTTTTAATCTCTCGTATTGTTTTGGTGATAGGCACTACAAAGTAGTGAGTTCGCTGGAAAACTACACTGACGTATTGTCAAAACTACGGGAAGAGGGAATAACATTTGAAACTGATAATGGGTTCGAGCTTCTTTCCTTATCACCTATCGAGGTATATGCCAATATTGGCAACTGGATTTGTATTATTTATCTTCTTACAACTGACCATTAAGTGTCATATGCTACTAATCCCCACAAGTTTGAGCTCCCTACTAATAACAAAGAGCTCCCAGATGGTTGGGATTAAATTAGCAAAATTATCCCTGGGGTTTAATGTAACTTAAATACCATATCCCAATTATCTTTTGAAATTACAAAAAAAAAAAAACCCTTTTGTGGCCTTGTAAAATAAACACTTATGTCATGGGTTTATATGCATCTTTGAACAATGGCCGAGCTTTAGCGTAAATTTGTGCTCATTATTTCTTTTCTTTCTTTTCTTTTTTTTTTTCTTCCTGTTGATGCAGGTTGATGATGAGGCTATGGACTTGAACAAGGAGTTGATGGCTAAACTGCTTGAGCTGGATGATGTTGATGCAGTGTATACAGACCAGAAGTAATTTTATGGACCACCTATTATTTGTTTTTCCAAATTATTTGGCTGCTGAGAATTTTAAACCGAGAGTTTGCAGCTTTCTACCAAGAGTCGAGTCCAAGGTAATCAAGCCTCTGCTATAGAAGGATTACAATTATTCTACATGTTATAGAGCAAAACACATTAGATAGTGTGGGTAACAATTTATCTGTGTGGTCTAACCCTTCAATGTTATTCAGCTTACAGTCGAACATGAGGGGAAGATTAAAATTTCCATTTTTGTCTCTCTTGTCACGGGTTTATTAACTCCCAACTACTTATTGTCATTCCATTTGGCCACAGACCTTTAAATTATGCCATTTGATCTTTTTCTTTTCATTTTGTACATCGATATTCAACTACTTAGTACTCATAAAGTGATATTCCATATAGCTATATATAACATTGTCGTGTAACGAATAATGTTGTCATACTCATACAGTTTCATTTGCATCAAAGACATGGTTTCAAATTGCGTATAGCCCACTGATATATATGTTTCTGTTTTAGAACCATGTTCGTAATGACTATTAATATTTCAATAGTTACATAGTTATTGTGTTAAGCTACAAGTATTTGTTTGCCGAAGGAAAAAGCCCCATGCCATTGTCGAAAGTCGCCCGCGCACTTCGCCCAGGCCGCCAACTGTCGGCTTGTGATGCTCGCAACACTGCCCAGGCCACCGGCAACGGGCAAGTGCCGAGACTCGCCCATAAGAATTTCACTAGAAATCACAAACTTTAAAAAGTCTTGAATTAAAAAAAAATAATAATAAAATGTAGCTCAAAATATTAAATGAATACACTCTCCTAAATATTGATATCCCCCTCAATATATTAGTGCAAAATGTTCTGATCCTAAATATCGATTACTTATGCTTCATAATCATGTGTCGAAGCATAATCATATGTGTCGAATTCTTGTGATGTGTCGAATTCTTGTGATTCGTAATATTGTGTTGATATTTGTTTTGGAGTAGTACAATGTACCATGCGTATTAGAGCCTTTAAAATTATAAACCCTTGATCAACTTAAGTTACAAATATATTTAAAACGCTTCGGAATCTTATTTGCAAAAAACCATGCTTTGGAGTTAGACTTGGATTTAAATTAATATTTTTTATCAGACTAAATTCATGATTAATTTTTTTCCTTCTTTATTAGTTATTGTAAATGTTTATTCTTCTTATTTTAAGATTTTATAACTTTTTTGTTTGTATTTTATTTTTTATATATGATATATCAAATTAACTATCTTTTAACGATTTTTGTATTATATATATATAATACAAAATAGTAATATATATTCTTATAAATAAAATTTAAGTTTATTTATCAAACTAAATTAAAAGATATCAAATAAAACTATAAATTATATTATAAAGTAATAGAAATTGGTATGTACTCTCTTAAAAATGATATTTATTTTAAATCTAATTGGTATGTTATCAATCTAATAATAATAAGTAATTATTTATTTAAATTCTAAAATTACATATAAAGTTAGAAAACTGTGAAGCACAACGGATTTCTGCACTTATGCATATAATATTACCATATTATTTCTATTTATTGAAGATATATATTTTTTTTTACTTAATAATACTACATAATATCGATAATTTTATATGATATAAGTAAAAAAGTTCAATATGAGTTGACATTTTCATTTAATATACGGGTGTTTAATTATTATGATTAAAAAAATATAATTTGACAATTTAATTAAAACCTAAAGTAATAATTTATATAAAATTAAATTATTTTAGTTTAAAAAAATTAATATTTTTTTACATATGCTTCCTAATTCAATACCCGTGTATTTACACGGGTATTGTATTAGTATATTTTAAAAGTTAATAACTTTCGTATTTGTTATTATATTTTTGTTTATGATATATCAAATTAATCTTCTCATAACGAGCTTTGATTTGACATCTATATTTCATATATAAATATATATGTATACATATCTCTTAAATACAAATTAAATTATATATCAGTATTAATTGGCAAATAATAAAATTATTTATCAACTAAATAAACTTATCTATTCATTATATAATATGACTTAAAAAAGTTATTATACTATAGAAATTGAAAAAAAATATTAAAATACTATCAAGTGATAAGTATCATTTTAAATATAAAAGGTTAATATGAGTTTGTAAGAATGATTTAAAACCACTTGCCTCTATTGTATTATTAAAATTTAGTTAAGAATTTAGCCCATGTAGATATGGACTCTATCAATATCTATTACGCCTTTTAAAATTATAAAGTGTCTAACTTAGATTAATTTTTTTTAAAGTTAATATTTTTTTTATTTGTTATCAAATTTTTGTATATAATATATCGCATTAATCATCTTTTGAGGGGATTTTATTTTATATTTATATTACATATATAAATTAAATCAATAAATTTCTTTTTTTTTTTATAATAAAATTAAATCATCTACTAACGCTAACTAATAATTAATAAAATTATATATCAATTCAAAAAGTCACCCATGTTACACTTGACTACATTTGGTAAACCTAGCTAATAACTTAAAAGTGAATTGTGACCTTATACCAGTAATTTTTTATTTATGGCTAAAAAACTAACTTATATGATAAAAAAAGTTAGATAAAATTAGTTGATAAGATAGTTGAAATAAATCTTTCAACGATTATTCGAAAAGCTAGTCAAAAAAATTATGAGATAAACTCGAGCTTTCTCCTACGAAGTAATTATTTAATAAATATTGAACTTCATATGCACTTTATCAGGGCATGATTAACTTTGGAGGAAGCGTGTTTTAAATTCATCGTTCACCAAAGTAAAATAAAAGATACCAAGTTCCTAAACTTCTACATCCAAAGGGCATAAATAAAAACAACGGTATCATTTTCATACATTTGAGGTCTATGTGGTCAATGAATGAAATTTCTGAATTATGAAATTGGCATCAAGTATAGGCTGGATATTTTGAAATGAGAGCAAAAAACAATTATTTGTCTTGCATGAGCAACACTCACAGCTGGCACCCGCAACTCCTAGCAGCGAGTTCTAGCGGCCCAATAGTGATCCCAGCAGCCCGGCAACCAACCAGTGAGTCTATTAGCCAAACCATTTATGAAAGGCGGTGAAGGTACATACAAGAAGAAAATTTCAAGTAGAAGATGTGTAGAAACTGAGAGTTAAGAAGTTGCTGGTGTCTCATGCACCTTCTTTTACTGAAATACAGGCTACAACTTCAAACGTTTTTTTCACATGTGATCACTGCCGAAATCCATACAGAAGAAACGAGTACAAAGTTATATGTTTAAAAGCAGGGTTCAAATCCACTTAGAAAACATAGATTTCCATTTGCCAGTAGTTGATTTCAAACACACAAGAAGAAGCACTATAACAAATAGGTTGAAAGGCAAAACACTTTCAGCATCATATTTGAAGACATATTGGATGTAGACGCCATCGTAGAGAACCGAGTAATATTCACTCATTCGTCCTCATCCTCCTCATCCCCAAGCATTTCTGGACGGCAGCATAATCTCCTCAAACGGACTTTTTCCTATCATAAAGGGAAAATACAGGAAATGATACACAATTTTAAAAAAATGGGTTATTTAATAGCTTAAAAGGGGAAATATTATCACCTCTGTGTTATCATGGTGGTATCTAATGGAGAAAAGGCATCTGCAGCCTCTGATATCGTGCAACCTCCTCTCCACATCTATGACATTAGCATCATAATATCCCGTTTTATCTTCTCTCTCCTGATTCAAAAGAAAAATGCATTTTGCGTGCCATCTAAATTAACGTTTATAATTTATTAACTGCAAAAACTAGGAATACCCGTCATATTAAGCCTGTGAAAGAAGAAATAAAGCCTACAAATGTTCCTACTTTAAAATTGCATCTTCAAAAGGGAGGTATTTGTGAAGTTTGCAAAAACTCACGAGGGGTATTTGTCGAACGGGGGCATTAGAGCGCTATTAGTATCAGCTCAGAGGGCATTAGAGCGCTATTAGAATAGCGTAGTGGCTTCAAAAGTTTAGTCGTTTTCATCATGGTTCAGATCTGACTTTTTCGAGTGAGTTTTGGGTCTCACCTTCTGTACCAGCAGCCCTGTCTCGACGTCTCAAGACCAACCGTCCCGTCAAGTTTTACCGTATTCGCAGGGCATGTGAACTACACGCACCAACGCGTGAGAGCGCATGTCTGGCCGAAATTTTTTCCAATGAGCGTCCGAGCGATTGGAATCTTCGACTCTTGCTGGTGCGGGTGCTCTCACTTCTTCGGGGACTTTTGACTTGCAGGTTGGCTGTTTCAGTGGAATCGACCATTTCTGATCTTTGTGTTGAGAAACTTCGGTTACTTTGTGGTTCTTTGTTTACACGCCCGTCCATTTTTACTGCCCGTGCACTACTGATGGCTGAAAACAAAAAGTAATGCTCCCACATGTCGTCAGCTTCTGATATGGTTACCATCTCTGTTGAGGAGTATGCCCAAACATACAGTGATTGTTAATGAACTTACAGTCACCTACTACTATTTTTTACGATGAAGGTAAATCAACTGATTGTCTTGAATTAAAGATCTAAATGGGTCATCAATTCTGGTGCTACAGACCACATGCTTCAGCTTCAGACCATAAACTTTTCTCGACCTTCCATTCTCATAAACTCACGACTCGTGCAACTATTGCTGATGGATCCACCCCACATGTTCTTGGTTCTGGTTCAATTCACCTTACACCCTCTATCTCAATACACTCTATATTAAGTTTGCCTAACTTTGCTTTTAACCTGCGATTCGTGCTATCCGTCAGTAAACTTACAAAATCCTTGAATTGTAGTGTTCCAATTTTCCCCTAATTACTGTGTTCTTTGGGATCTTTCAAAGAAACAGATAATCGGCACTTGAGGTACATTTGCATGCTTGGATATAAAAGTTTATCAAAAATATCCAATCACAACTCAAATTTAACTCAACACAACCCTCCTCAGTATTATCAATATAATTAAATAATGCCAATCAATCATCCTCACACATCACATCGATTTTAATTCACTATTTATCCACTCACATAAGTTTAACTACTCATCACTTCCAGTCACCTCTCTCCTAATTTTATCAAATCAACTTTAATCATTTTATTTTAAATATTATTTTAATACAAACTCAAAATCTCACTCAAACCTAACTCAACAAACTTTTTCAATATTAACTCTAGAATCCAATCGAAACCGAAAAAAAAAAAAAATTATATCCAAGCAAGCCCACCTAGGTCACCCTTCTCTCTCCAGAACGTAAAGAAACTTTGTCCCCAGTTTTCTTGCTTATCTACTCTATGCTCTATATTGTGAGTCATGTGAGTTTGCTAAACATACTCGTACACCGTTAGGTCCAAGGATAAACAAGCGAATTACATCTCCTTTCATGCTAATTCATTCTAATGTTTTGGGTCCTTGTTACGTTCATTGATGATTTTTCCTCTATAACTTGGATTTACTTCATAAAAAGTCGTTCTAAAGTCTTCCGACATTTTTCCTCCTTTTGTATTGAAATTAAAATTAATTTCCACTTAGATTCAAACTTTACATAGTGATAATGCTAAGGAACTTCTGCCGACATCTTTTGGATCCTATATGCTTGAATGTCATTTTTGCATGAAACTTCTTGTGCTGACACATCAGCTCAAAATGGGGTAGATGAACAAAATAATCAGCACCTCCTTGAGGAGGTTGCTCGAGCATTGTTATGTCATATGAATATTCTAAAAAGTTTTTGGTTGAAGATTATGTGTCTACTGCATATTTCTCATTAATCGCATGCCTTCCATTGTGTTAGGCAATGTGCTCTGTTCTCTATCCTTTCTCTAAAGAAGAACTTTATTCCCATAGAACCCAAAAATTTTGGTATTACACGTTTGTACGAGCCTACGGGGTACTAGACCCCATCTGACCAAATTAGATCTCAAAGATCTAAAAATGTGTCTTTCTAGGGTACTCTCGTGTGCAAGGGAAATCGGTGTTTTTCTCCTACACTTAACCATTATATTGTGTCTAGAGATGTTACCTTAAATGAAGGTCTTCAATTTTTCTTGCTTCTGTGTCTCTCTCTCATTGTCAGGAAGAGTGTTATTTTAGCATATTCTTGTTACAAACCTTAGGGTTTTGGACGTGTATATATGCACAAGTGAGGATAGCCACATATATATAGACTTAAAGCCTTAAGCAATATGGGTTGGGCCTATAATATATAGTTAACATCCCCCCTCAAACTCAAGGTGGAGGTGGAGGATCCGAAGCATTGAGTTTGAGCAAGTGAAGCCGATGTTGCTCTCTAGTTTGTGCTTTGGTGAAAAAATCAGCCACTTGCAGTTCTGACGGCACATACGGCACATACTGAAGAATAATTATTTTCTGATGACAGTGAGATCAGGTAAAGGAAGCATGAACACCAATGTGTTTTGTAAGTTCATGCTTTACTGGATCATTGGCAATTTGAATTGCTCCAGTATTATCATAAAGAAGAGGCGTAGGATCATCACATGGAATACCAAAATCGGCTAACAACCATCGAAGCCATATAATTTCTGAAGTGGTAGTAGCAAGTGCTCGAAGTTCGACCTCTGTACTAGATCGAGATACAGTTGCCTGCTTCTTGGACTTCCATGTAAGGGGAGAAGAACCAAGAAAAATGCAATAACCCGTGACAGAACGACGATCAGATGGATTACTCGCCTAAGTAGAATCCGAGTAAGCATGAAGTTGAAGCGGACTATCACGAGCATAAAATAAACACTGAGATGATGTTCCCCTTAAGTATCGTAACACGCGAAGCAAATGCCCAAAATGAACTGAAGTAGGAGCACTCACAAACTGACTCAATATATGAACTGCGTGAGCAATGTCAGGCTTGGTAACAGTAAGATAAACAAGACTGCCTACAATATGGCGATAGCGAGAGGGATCCTCAAGAGGACTACCATCAGTAGGACGAAGCTATAAGTGAAGATCCATAGGTGTAACCGCTGTCCGATTATCAGTAATACCGGAACGAACAAGGTCCTGTATGTATTTGGACTGAGAAAGGTAATAGCCCGAGACAGAATGCATCACCTCAATGCCCAAAAAATAGCTAAGGGGACCCAAATCAGACATCTGAAATTGTTGACCAAGTTGCTTCTTAACATGGGAAATATGCTCTTCATCATCTCCAGTAATCAACATATCATCAACATATAGAAGAAGTAGAGTACGCCCACGTGAAGAGAGATGAATAAACAAAGCAGGATCATGATCACTAGGGGAGAAACCAGCAGCCCGTATGACAGAAACAAAACGCTCAAACCAAGCACGAGGAGCCTGTTTGAGACCATATAATGCGCGACGAAGACGACAAACATGTCCAGAGGGGGCATCAACACCCGGTGGTGGCTGCATATAAACTTCCTCATGCAAATCACCATGAAGGAAAGCATTCTTCACATCCATCTGAGATATGGTCCAGGAACGAGTAGCGGCCACTGCAATTAAAGTACGAACAGTAGTCATGTGAGCAACGGGAGCAAAAGTCTCATCATAATCTCGCCCCTGAGTCTGCTGAAAGCCTCTAGCAACAAGACGAGCTTTATATCTCTCAATGGAACCATCTGACTTGGTCTTAATTTTAAAGACCCACTTACAGGTGATAGGCACTGCATGCGACGGTAACGGAACAAGATCTCAAGTGTCAGAAGGGCAGCAAGTTCCTCTGACATAGCTAGTTGCCACTCTGGAATACTCGAAGCTTCCTGATAGGTTGACGGCTCATCAATAATAGCACCCGCACGTGGAAAGCCCAACTTATCAGGAGGAACAATAGTAGCACGATCACGTGAATTATATCTCTGACCAACATCAGATTCTTCAGGAATGACATGTGACACATCAGAATCATCTAGGACGGGAGCATCAGGACTGGCCAATGGAGTAGAATGAGGCGGAAGCGTTATGTGACCTTTGGAACGACGAGTATAGACTTGTGTGATGGGTTGTTTATATGGTGGAGGCTCATCAAAATTAGGTGGTGCAGGGTCATCATGAGTGGAAGATGGAGAAGAGACAGAGACATCATCATCAAGAAAAGAAATAGGAGGAAGACATAAAAATGACGTAGACTCTGAAGAAGAAGAAGTTGTGGGAGGAGTGGATGGGTTATAAAAGAAAGGACGATCCTCGACAAAAGTTACATCACGAGATATACGCATGCGGCGAGCGGAAGAATCATAACAACGATAGCCCTTATACTCAGAACTATATCCCACAAAGACGCACTCAACCGACTGAGCAGTCAGTTTAGTGCGCTCACGAGGAGCAAGCAATACATAGCATGTACATGCGAAAACCCGAAGATGATCATAGCTAGGGGGAATACCAAAAAGAACCTCACCAGGACACTTACCAGACAGTTTGGAAGACGGTTGTCGGTTAATAAGATAAACAGCTGTAGACACAGCTTCTCCCCAAAAATGAGAAGGAACAAAAGAGGCAATGAGAAGGGTTCTAGCAGTCTCAATGAGATGGCGGTGTTTTCTTTCTGCAACACCATTCTGAGCATGTGCACCAGGACATGAGAGCTAGGCAAGAGTGCCCTCAGAAGTCAAAAATTGACGAAAATTGTTAGACATATACTCACCACCAGAATCAGAACGAAAAACTCGAATAGGAGTAGAAAACTGAATACGAACCATGCAAACAAAGTCTTTATAAATGGAACACAACTGAGAACGATGTTTCATAAAATAAACCCAAATATATCGAGAATGATCATCAATAAAAAGAACATAGTATTTATTGCCACCTTTTGTAGAAAAAGGGGACGAACCCCATACATCAGAGTGAATAAGATCAAAAGGTCTAACAGAATGAGAAATACTAGTAGGATATGGGAGTTGCAGCTGTTTTCCGAGCTTGCAACCCTTACAATGAAAACTAGACTCGATAGATGTACGACCTAAACAACCATTACTAATCAAAGTAGACAAACGAGACCCACTCAAATGACCAAGACGATGATGCCACTTGGCAAAAGATGATGTGGAAGACGATGCAATGGATGACACACGAGCGGTAGAACCAGATGGAAGATGTAAAGTGTCTAACACGTAGAGGCTCGGAGAACCTTTACGGCGATGCCCCGCTTCGACGATCCTGAATAAAACAAGATGAATCATCAAATCTAACAAAACAGTTTTGATCAGGGACCTGACCAACGGAAAGAAGATTCATAGATAATTTAGGAACATAAGAGATATTAGGCATTGAAAAACGAGAATTGCAAAGAGAACCCTCATGAGTGATATGGCAAGACGTGCCATCAGCTGTCTGAATAGAAGCACCATCGGGGACCGCCTTGCAGGCAACCAACTGGGAGTGATCAGATGTCACATGAAAAGATGCTCCAGAATCGAGGACCCAAGACTGAGGAGCATGGACAGGAGAGGCAGCAGCGACGTAAACAGACCCCTTTGTAGCAGAAGTTGTACCACGAGCCCGAGCAGCACGACGCGCACGATACTCAGCTAACTTTTCTGGATGCTGAGTAAAACAATTCTCGTGACTGTGACCGGTCTTCCCACAATGCTTACAGGGTTCTGGTGAGTCACCTCTGGGTGCACTAAGCCGTTGAGAAAATGTCCTTTGAGGAGCTGCCAGAACACTCTGCGATACAGATGGCGGAGCAACTGACAGAGAATGGAGACGAGTCTCTTCAGCAATCAATTCAAATAATGCTTGTGCCATGGTCAGAGTAGAGGAGTAATGAAGCAATCGTGTACGAATGGACTCAAATTCTGCTCTGACTCCCATGACAAAGCGATAAATAAAGAACTTCTCAACAAATTTATGTGTTGAACACTCCTCCGCCGAGCACTGAGGTACCATAGAGACCAATGGTCCCATCAAACGATCAAAAGCAGAGTAGTATTCATCAATGGACATGGAGTTCTGTTCAATCACGTGAATTTGTTGCATAAGGGTGTGTAAGAGAGCACCACTATCCTGAACATAGCGCTGCTGCAAATAGGAACACATCCATTTGGCTGTCCGAATGAAGAAAGGCTCATAATCATGGACTGCTTGACACTGTTGGCAGCCATCACTTTTCCATCATTGATCTGCCATATTTTGATTTCGGCAGCATTGCTATTATCGGCCTTCCTTTCGGGTCCTTCATCAGTCAAGTGAAAAGCCAAACCGTAACCCCTCAACACTGTTGAGAGAAAGCTCATTCCCGATAATTCTGACCATCAAGAGTAATATTGATAGCAATTCCATGAAGTTGCGACATGATTTGACAAACACGTAGCAACGAGCCGCGATGAAGTATGAATGAAAGCGCTGCGACGGGCAGCCTTGAGGCACACAATATGTGATGGATAACAAAAAAACAGAAATTGACGACGGTCGGGACAGATTAGAGTACAAAAAACCCTAACCCCGAAGAATGACGGATCTGAAAATGCACAAAACAAACACCAAAACCTCCCGAAACACAAAACGAAGAACGCTGGCAGCACGAGCATAAAATTCCGAGTTCACGGATGGTCGCCGGAAAAAATTCCGCCCAGCCACGCGCCCACACGCGCCGGCGCGTGGGATTGATGGCAGAAAACTTCCGGCGGCGCGTGTGACTCACACGCGCGGCTTCTGACGGCGAAACTTCGCCGGAAGGTCGATCTCGGGGCGGCGATGTGATTGGTGTGGGAGGTGAGATCGAAAAAAAATATTTATGTGTAAGGCTGTGATACCATGTTACAAACCTTAGGGTTTTGGACGTGTATATATGCACAAGTGAGGATAGCCACATATATATAGACTTAAAGCCTTAAGCAATATGGGTTGGGCCTATAATATATAGTTAACAATTCTATAGCAGTGTCTAACTCATCTATTTCTGAGTCCCTCCTCTATTTAGTCCTAACACTCGTCCCCCATATTGTGGTTCATCGGTCGAGTAGGGAGCTTCTGGACCGGGTTATCCTTATGTGGCTATATCAATACTCAACGCCTGCCCGCGTTCCGCTTCAGAGGATCCAGAGAATTCAGATTCATATCCTTTGTCGGCTGCTTTTGTGGAAGATCCTATACCTCGTCCACCATCCTCTAAACCACATTCAGCCGATGAACTTCTTATTGCAGGTAAACATTCACGTATGTATCCCACTGCCTCGATCATTTGTCATCCCCTTCAAGATCCTTTACTGCAAGATAGATTCCCTTTTTGTTCCTAAAACTGTTGGGTAGCTTTCGCCCATTCTGGTGGTTAGCATGATAATATGATTGAAAATAAATGCTCTTGATCATAATGATATATGGACTTTTGTTGATTTACTTGTTAGCAAAAAGGCGATCAGGATTAAGTGGGTTTTCACAGTTTAAGTGAATCCGAACAGCTATTTGGCTCGTCTTAAGGCTTGTTTGGTAGCTATAGGTTATGCTCAAACCTATGGCGCTGATTATTCTAAATTTTCTCACAGTATATATTCTATCGAAGCTCTACATATGGGATCATCTTATCGGTTGTGTATGATAATGATATAGTGATTACGGGATATGATCTGATGGGATTTCGTGGTAGAAGTCATTTTTCCATGCACATTTTCAGACAAAAGACTTAGGATCTTTGAAATATTTTCTAGGCATGGAGATAATGAGAAGCAAGAAAGTAATCTACCTTCTTTGGAGGAAATACGTGCTCGATCTTCTTAAAGAAACTCAGAAAAAATGAGTCAAGACATGCAACACTCCAATGACTCAACTTACTTGCAGCTAGGGAAAGATGATGGTAAGCCATTCCATGATCCTGATAAGACTTGTGGGAAAGTTGTATTATCTCCCATAACACGTCCGAACATAGCTTTCCACTTGGTGTGACAGTCAGTTTCTGTATGCTCCACCGTAGGCTTTTTTGGGCAAATTTTGTGTTATCCCTTCAGGACGTGGATTATTTTATGGGTTGCATGGTGTGTGTTCCAGTAAGTTAAGAAGCATATTGTGATGCATACTACGTCAATTGCAAGAATGATAGGAGATCAACTTCAGGGTGAAGGAGGCAATCTAGTTCTGTGGAGAAGCAAGAAACAAAACGTTATTTCATGTTCAGTTGTTGAGGCAGAGTATAGGTCTAAGGCTAAGTCTGATTCGTTTTTCAATTTGCCTGGATAAATGAGTACTGAGAGAGCTCAGGTTAGAGCTCAATCTTCCAGCAAAACTTTGGTGTGACAACCACGCAACACTCCACATTGCATTGAACCCAGTATTGCATGAATAAACCAAGCATAAGCATATTGAGGTAGATTGTCACTTTATTTGTGACAAGGTAGAAGGGATCATTCCTACAGGATACATTAAATCACAAGACCAGCTCAGTGCCGTTTTCACTAAAGAAGTGAACGGGGTACAGATGAACAACACTAGTAACGAGCAGGTATTTTTTATATATATATGGTATAGATTAGGAAATCAATTAAGAATATATTGTAATCTCATATAGATTAGACCAGTTGATTTACTTTCCTTTTTAACTTGATCCTAGACTTTTATATATAGGTCGTTGTATATCATTGTATATTGTAACCTAAGAGCATGGAACACAATATTTTCATTTCTCTCTACAGTGTAATTCTATAAGATGACATAAGATTTTGCTAATTAGGATAAAATAGAACTTTTACTAATTAAACTTATCTACAGATCGAAATTATGCACATATTCTGACAAGATGCCGAGACCTGAGCCTATAACATGTTAGCGCACGGCCACAGCTATTTTATCATGTTTAGCCCTAAAAGTTTTCATCTTTTCTGTTCAATCGTCGCTACAAATCTAGCACCTCATCTTGATGTGGGGTAAAAACCTCCCACGATAGTCATTTTTTTTCTTTTTACTTTTTATTGCTACACATCAGAAGTTTGACATGGAAAATCCATATGTGATCTATGTCACACAATATTTTCTATTTTATATATTAAAAACAAGGGACATAGCAGACATAAAAACAAAAAATGGAAGTGATAGAAAGATAAATATAAAATAGATGTTAATAAAAGGATACCTTGAAGCATACTACATGATCCCCAGCCTCCACTTTATAGCACTCTGAAGAGTCCAATGCAACAGACCGGAGTCTCACAGAATCTTTAGCATTCACCCATTCAGCTTCCTCTGCTCCAAATCCAACATATTTTACACGAACTTCCTGCAGTAAATTACGTTTCATATTTTGAATATTAAAATACAGAAAAAGAGATATCCATATTCCTTCTTACTGATTGCAATGAGAATGTGAAAAACGAACAGCTCACAAAATTATCAATTACAAACAATTCCTTTCTCTAAGTAAAAAACAAGTTCCTTCATTAAGCTAAAGTGAAAACTATGTTTCAAGCTCAAAGGCAGCATTTTTTCTAGTGATAAGTTAATAATATTACAGAGAAACAGTTGACAAAATGCATTGCTCTTGGGGACATTGTAACGAATTAACATCAGTAATCATAAAATGTAACAACATACTATAACTACTCACAAGTTCGCCGGAAGCAACATATCTGTGGGAAAGAAATGTATCGACATCATACCTGAAACACCATTTGAGGAAGGTAAATTAGTAGACAAGCAAACAAAAACTTATGCATGGCTACAATAGAGTGTTCCGATACAACAGGAATATATGTTGTAGATTAGTTTCTTTATTGTACATCGACTAATATATTATGAGAATTCGAGTTCTCACTCTTGGACTTACCTGGAATTGATTACGTTTCTACATAACCATAATTTTATTGATGACCATGACACACACACAAACCACAATTTCAGACTTTTTTTTCCTTATCAAACATTTTTTGTTCTGTAATTCATCCCTAAACTTATTAAATATGCATGGCCAGAAATCCGGTTGAGTTTTTACACACATCTTCTATAATATCAGAATAAAGGGAGNTTATCCTTCGAAACTGCCTCAAATTCCAACTCGGACGTATCTTCATCAATCTCAGCTGCCAGCAGAAAAATGTTTAGCCATGAACAAAGGAATGTAAATATCTTAATATTTTTGAAAGGAAATGATCTTTCAGAAATTTTTAACCATGTGAACAAATCAAAATAGTAAAGTCAAACGGTTCCGCATATGAACGTAATGTTTCATACACTACAGACCCTACATTCACAACAGCAACATGTAGAAACAGTAAATCTACCTCACAAGTGGACTTCCCAAGGGAAGTTGTTTAGTATCAAGGCCCATAAGTTGACTAATCAAACATTTACAAAAACCAATTGGCAAGTCCTTATATCTAGCGCAGAAAAGAATTGCATGCGATAGTAATAAAAAGAAATTGCAGCACGTATCACGAATGGATAATTTTCCATAATAGCAGGAAAATTTTTTAGATGTAAATAATCACACATATAATAAACCTGTAGCAAATGGCACGGCCGGTTCTCAGTTCCTTTAAAATGAGTGAGTGCGTGAGAATTTAATAGCATTAAACTTCCTTGGTCGCCTTTCAGTAATCATGTTTAGTTTACAAATAGATTAATTTTATGTACGGCACTTTTGCCCTTGTGTGCTAACTGGTTAGCGAACGGGAGTATAGTACTAACCACTGAGCTAATACTCAACAGAACTAATACTCCAATACACCTCTTTCAAACTAACCTAGGTTAAATCTTGACAGAGAAAATAATACAAAGTGTAAGAAACCGAGTTGTGGAGTGGGGTTTGGTCCAAAAATCATTATTTTGATCCTCAGAAAGAACAAAACGCATCAACCTGCTTCTTAATATCCCTGATATAGTGAACATTGAGCTCGATATGCTTCGCCTTTGCATGAAAAAACAGGGTTGGAGGCTAAGGAAATGACATTCTCATTGTCGCACCAGATTAAAAAAGGTTTGTGCAAGTAAAACGCTAAATCCATCAAACAGAGAAAGCAACCAGACCAGATCAGTAATAGCAGTTGCCAAAGATCATTAGTCAGCCTCTGTGATGTTGCGAACAACCACAGATTGCATTTGTGACCTCCAGACAAGAAGATTACTCCATGAGGAAATACAATGGGCACTAATCGTTAATGAATGATGTGATGAGGGGGAATGTGAAGGTGACAGAGGAGGAACAGGCAAAGGAAGAATCAGAAGAGAAAAGCAAATAAAAGAGGATGAAGTAAACTGGTAAAGGAAGACTAAAAAGCAAAAAAAGATAATAAAAGAGGGAAGTGAAGATTAATTTGCAGGAAAAAGAGAGGGATATAAATACTCAACTTAATCGAAGGAGATGGTTCAGGATATATAACGAGCATGTTTGTTTACAAAATAATTCATTCACATTCAATTCATACTCAAAATCTAACTCAACTTTAACTCAACCCCACTATCCTCAATATTATCAATATAATTAAATAATACAAACCAATCATTCTTACACATCACATCAGCTTTAATTCACTATTCATCCACTCACATAATTTTAACAAACTATCACTTCACATCATTTCTCTCATACTTTTACATTAAATCAACTTTGATTATTTTATTTTAAATATTATTTTAATATAAATCAAAATTCCACTAACATTAAGAAAGGATAGGCCGTCGTTATAATATGCCAATGTTTTCATTACGTGAAACCAATCTGAGGATGAAAGTCAAGACAAGAATATCAAATGCCAATGCCGAGGGTTGTAAGAAGAGGTTTCAAGTATCAATACTCAACCCCAAAGTCAGATTGAAAAGTTCAAATGGTAGATTGAAACTGGGTTTTAACTAGATTAAAAAATTGCAAAAAGACAGCATGAACTGCGTTTTTAGATTGCAAGGGATAATAAATCCATGAGTAATGAATGTAAGCATTATAAACATAGTTTTCACAGCCGTTCACAAAACTCACAGAAGCTGGGCAACATCAGAATAAACAAGCTCAAAAGGAGAGGAGACATGAGGTGTGATGGAAGGGAAATGCGTGTGATGCATTTTTCTTAATTTGCATGGTTCACAGAAAGTAAGGGATTTGAGTGAGCTTGGAATATTGAGATTCTTAAGAACAACGGTAAGGACTGGACCAAGTCTTTTATGCCATAAGTTAACACTTTAATCTGAACAAGAAAACGGCTGCAAGATTTACTACCATTTTCAGAAGTAAAAATACTTATAATATGAAGTGAATGAAGCTTGGGTGCCAGGAAGAGAGTGGTATTTTCTGCCAAGAATAAGAGGCTTTGATAGATCAACTTGATAAAGTCCTTGACAAAGAACACCCTTGAGAAGCACTTGATGAGGGTATTTGTCCTTGACAAAACAAGAATCCTGATGAATTTCAGCATAAACTTGATTGTCTTGAGTAAACTGAGAAATACTGAGCAAGCTTTTAGTGATATCCGGAATTCAAATAATTTATTTAAGAGAAGAGGATAAGGGTTTAATCTTGGGAGGACAGATCAAACATGAAATATAGACAGGTGAAACCATTACCATTTCCCAACTGTCTGAACCAGTGTGTGGGGCATGTAGACTTATGTTTTGGAGATCAGCAGTAACATGAGATGTTGCACCACTATCGACTATCCAATTCAGATCTCCCAAAAAGTGAGGGATCAGGGGTAACAGCATCAAATGCAGACGGATACGTGAAATCGAAGTTATCGACCATCCAATTCAGTTACCTTTTCACGCAAGATGATTTTGCTAGCCACAGATTTTACAAGGACACATTCAATGGAACCTCCCACGACATCTGCCTCTATGAAAAGGCACACCTCTGCCTCTGAAATTGAAATTATCCATTGAAAAGTGACTATCAATGTTGGCGGCTGTTGACACAATTTGTGGCTCAGATAAGTAGCAGCTTGAAGCTAGTTTTTTCAGCCACATTTCATGTGATTGCACGGACAATTGAACATCAGAGATAGTGAGTATGTTAACAATATATTGTAAATTGACCGCAACAATTTCATATTCAGAACCAAGACCAACTAATATGTAAGATATAGGGATCATCACCAAGAGTAATTTGAATAACATCAGAAATACCTGGCCTATTTACTATATAATCTTCAACGAGCAAATCACCTTCCCTAGTCGTTTGAGGCATGAGGCGCAAATGATTGTTACGAAAACGAGATCGAGTACAAAATAGAGTTTCAAGAACAGACCAGATCTGAGATGATGTTGAACACCGAGTAATAGATCCAAGCACACATTCAGCCATTGATGATAAAGGCCAGGTTACTAGTTGCTTATCATGACACCTCCATTGAAGAAACTCCGGATTCGACACCGGAGAACCTGAAGGAGATGACGGATAAACAAATTCTGGGAGCGGCAATGATTTTCCAAGAAGAAAATCCTCGAATCCATGTGCTCTCACAGTGAATGAAGCCCGTGCTCTCCAGAACTTGTAATTCTGACGATCAAGTTTCAAAGTTAGGGTATTGAGATGGGGTAAAATAGTATCTGATGAAGAAATAGCCATCGAAGAGACTCTTATGAGAATGAATCAGGAAAATGAAGAGGAAAAGGAAAAATAAAAAAATATGGCAAGCAAATCTGAGGAGAAGGAATCTCTCAAAATCGCCTCCATCTTCCCTGAACCCTAAATCCTTTTCTCCTCTTCCCTTCTGAGCCTCCATCTGCCCGCTGCGTGCCTTCCCCGGCGGTTTGCCGGTCCCTTCGCCGGCGGATGGCCCGTAGCCGCGCAGCCTCGCTCCAATTTCGCACTATCCCCAATTTTTCTTGCGCCGATGGAAGCTGTCAGACACCCGTCGGTCGGATTCGTCGTTGTACGGTTGCCGGTGACGGTCACGGCTGTTGGTCTTCCTGGTCACGTCGAGGTGCTGGGTGGTGGTGTGTGGTCGGGGTGTTGGGTGCGGCCCTGGTTGCTCGGCTCGTCTGAGGTGAGTCGGCTGGGGCTGAGGCGCGGCGGTCCTTGCCCCCTCTGTTCCTGCTCCTTTGGTGTGGTGGTTGAGGGATGGCCAGCGCGTCCCGATCTAGGCCAGTGGTGTTGGCCGGATTTCGGGGTGCTCGTCTTTGGGGGGCTAGTCGACGCTCCTCCGGCTGTGGATCCGCTTCACTTCTTGGAGTGGTTTTGGGTCTCGGGTTTCTGCTTCAGTTGGGCAATTCTGTAATCTCGGGAGCGGATTTCTGGACTGCGGTTCAGTCTTTGGGGTGATCGGCTATGAATTCTGTTGGCGCCAAGTGTTGGGATTGGTTTGGACTTGTGTTTTTGGTTTGGGTCTTTGGCCTCTGCCCGAGTGAGAGCGGGTATTATCCTGGTGGGATCGGTCAGTCACCCTCGTTGGAGTCGAGTTCTTTGCTCTAGCGTTGCTAGTTTAGGCTCTAGGCGATCTTCGGATCTGTCCTCCAGTTTATTCAGCTTGTAGTTGTATCACTTAGCTAAGCTATGGGCTGATCTTCTTTTCGCACTTTGTGCGCTTTATAAAATCTCTATCGTTTCGGGAAAAAAAAAATCTGAGCTGAAGAATCGATTTCCGGTGAATTTTTTTTCCAGTGGGAAGCAGAAGAGGCCGGATCTGGTTATCGTGTTTATATAGTAAAACAAAGAGAAAAAGAGATTTCATGGATTAGGTGCAATTGGATGCCAAAAAACAACATTTTTCATTCCTCAACCAAAAAATACACTATTGATTCGTCTTAGATTTTCTCACATTTTCAATCTTAAATTTTACCAACAAAATTTTAAAATTAAAAAATCAATCAGTACTAAACATTCTTCTATAAAATTCTTTATTCATTCACTCAAATGGAGCTGGAAGAGTCAGTTTTGACAATTCTTCTGGCATAGTGCTAATAATGGACTAGATCAAAATGGCTCAATTAAATTCTAGTGCTTCTTCTATTAGTGAAGTTTCTAGAAAAAAAAATATATCAAACGACGCAATGCACCTTGGATCGCTACGGAAACAGCCTCCTTGTATAATTACAAGGGTAAGGTCTGCGTACAACTGACCCCCAGACCCCAACCTGTTGGGAATATATTGGGTATGTTGTTGTTGTTGTTGTATTCACTCAAATATTTATAACTACCAATAATGATTATATTTAATTGTCACTCTTCATTATCATCATTTCACATTATAAAAATCATTAATTTCTCCAATAAACTTTCTTTCTCCAAACAAACAAAAAAAAACAAATACCAACAAGTGATATCCAATCACACCCAGTCTCATTTCAGTAATCATGTTGTCTATACACAAGTTTAAGCATATTTTAATTATATACATAAACATATTTTTAAGTTATATATAAATTATATTTTTAAATATAAATAGAAATATAACTTTTAAGGTACATGTGATATATTTTTTCAACATAAATATATTTTATATACACAAATTTTATATTCTATATAATATATTAAATTTAATATAATTATTATCAACGAGTCAATTTGATAATTTCAAATGAATATGTGTAAATTCGAACCTAGCTGGCTAACTAAGTACAGTATAGTATTAACTGTTCAGCTAATGCTCAAGTAAACTAATACCCCAATAGTATCTTTATGTAAAACATATATCTAGTGTGGTGCATGTATTTATAAGTTATGCATATGAATTACATATGCTATGGTGGTGATGGGTCAAGTGTGAAGTATTAATCTGCGTGTCGTGCCAGAGTGTCGGCATTGAAGGAAGCAAGGAGCATTTGTGTGAGCGCGGGTATGTGGCACGTGATTATTGAAATGAATTCTTTTCCTAATTCATGAAATTTTCTAATCATTTTCTTTTTAACTAGGAATTGATGTATGTTTAGGGATTTCTTCGTATCAGCGAAAAATTCATTGTACAGTTTGTAAGGCTTGCGAATAGTTTAAATTGAGATATTTTGTTTCTAGACTTTAGGCTATTAATCATGCAAGGAATATGAGCACGTCATACCAACCGACTCAAATTCTATCAAACAACAAATTTTGAGGAGGGAAATACTTCTTTTTCTCAAGTTATCATTCATTACTAAATGCTAGCTTGTGTACAAGTAACTACGACCTCTATATATGCAAACTATTGATGGGAGGGATCATAAACAGATCCAGCATTAAAGGAAAGCTTCCAACGAATTCCTTGCTATCCAAACCAATATTATGACTATCGACCACGATTATTACTATTGTCTTTCATATTATCATTAAGTTTGTTAGTACTATGTTATGCTATACGTATTTAGTTCTGGACAATAAATATTCCATTGTGCCATTGAATTCTCATTTTCCAGCACATAACAATTAGCAAGTTGAAAGAGATGACACCGACTTGTATTCAATTCAAATGGAATCTCTAGGGTGACTATGGAAGCTATTATTTTGCTACTGTTATATTCGAACCAGACGTTTGGGGTTATCTCTAACTTCCAATTTATGAAGATTCATTTTCTTTTAAATTTGTGCCTCTTGGGGATCATACAACTTGAGTTAATTTCCTTGTTGAAAATGATACATATGCATAGCTTTTCTTTAAAAAAAAAAAAAAATACACGAAATCCGGAGTGAATTCAAAGAGTACTTTCATTATGAGTAAGTTTAGAATGTTACGCGCACCCTCGAGCAATTTTAGATTCCCAGTTTCTGTAGACTGAGTGAGCGCTTTAGGTGGAACAGCTGGCGTGGTATCTGCATTGCATGACGTGTCTGTAAAAAGTCCTACTTGATTCTTCTGAAACCAAGTCCGAATCTACAATTGATAACAGGTTCCATCAGAGACCAAAAAAGTGGCCGAGGAAGGGTCAAGTGATAATTAGAAACTGTGAATGCCAACACATAGAAGCAAAATGCTGAAAAAAAACAATATACGCAGAATTAGAAGCAGAAATTGTCGCTTGAAGAAACCAGGCTTTGTTTACTTATCCAGGTGGACACTATCAGCTGATCACATTCTTAAGTATTGGCAAACACTCCTGAAAGTAACGTAACAGAACATCGAGAAAATACAATGTATAGAACACCTCAGTCCAATTTATCGCAGGTTTTCCTGCACGACCACTTGAACGACTGCCAATATACCAATAAAATGAAGTTAGTCCAGTACAAAGCAGGCGATGTTTTAGGGAAACACTGAAATTCGATTATGACTCACTTGAAAATTCCTGCCAATTTTTTACAGTAGTCGTCATCCAGAGCTCGTTCTCTAAATTCAGTAAGCGACTGCTGCATTCTCTGCACCTGTCTCCTTGGAGACACATGTTACTTTTCAAGTAAGTACTGATACTCGAATTATTTGCAACATGCACAAAATTTCATGCTGGTTAATGAGACAAGGAGACACATGTTACTTTTCAAGTAAGTACTGATACTCGAATTATTTGCAACATGCACAAAATTTCATGCTGGCCAATGTCTCATTAACCATTTTCACATACTACGGAGACAATTCTATACTGAATTTCCTGTTATCATGCACATATTGTCTTCTTTTATTGTTTGAGTGGCTCAGTTTTATTAAAGGTACACTTTCTTTTTCTCACTTTTCTTCCCTACCCATCCACGCGGCAAGGGACCCTTTTTCTTTTTCTCTCTCACCACCAGGTTCTATAGACAGTCATGCACGCCATTTCCCCAATTCAAATCAACACAAGTATCCTAGCTCACATTCTCTCGTCCTTCTATGTATATTCAATCTGTGAATTTCTACAAGGTATCAAGAGCTTTTAAGAATGATGAAAATAAACAGTTCACGGAATGCGCATAATTTGTAATCAACTTATTAGCACCGTCACTCGATTGCTTCTATTCATACCAACATGCAATTTACAAGCACATCTAACTGGTTATGAACAACATTGTTGCCAACGCGAAACAAAATATACATGTCAATGATATCACTTACATACAATGAAACTAAGGCCTACAGTCAGTCAGGCTCAGCATAAGATGAAATCTCGACCCAGAATCTACCGACTACCGTAATTGTTTAATAGCATCCGAACACAAAATATAAGAAACAGAAAACAATTCCACAACATACAGACTCATAAACATTAAATATTCGCTACTGAAGGGAGCGAGCGAACGAGGGATCAACCTAGAAATCTTTGATCGACATAGGTTAAACAATTTTGGCTTATTAATATTGAAAAAAAAAATAACAAAGATGATGTTAAAAGCATATACCTCGCCACTGGTGAAGCCGGAAAAGGTTTGCCTCTGCCTCCGCCTAAGGTCCATTTGCCGCTAAAAGCTTTTCAATCGAATTCCTCCAAGTTGTTTGTGCGAGAGAGGGTGACAGTACTTAGGTGTCAAAAGTTCGTCACCGAATTGGCACGCCTCCTTCAATACTACACCTTTTAATATCCTGTATATATATTTTAAGAACCTTTTAGCATCCGCTGGGTTCAATCCAAAAAAAATTAGATGTCACATTTAGTCAAAGAAAATACATTCTCCAATGCAAATAAAAGTATACTAGTCCTATTGACGTGGCAATCAGAAAAAGAGACTCGGTCTCCCCGTAAATCTATTTTAGACCCAAATAGAGACATAGTCTCTTTGCATGCATTGGAGTGAATTTTATTAATTTTACATAGTTTTATCTATGTCATCCAAGACTTGAATTTATTTATATGTCACATAAGCAAGACTAAACACAATGTATTGTAGATGCTTTAAAGGTATGTTTGGTTCAATGAAGGGAAAGGGAGGGGAAATATTTTAATGGAGGGAAGAGAAAGGAAAGGGAGGTAATGTAAAATATTTTACCTTGTTTGGAAAGATTTTGTTAGGGAGAGTTGGGGAAAAATAATAAAGCTTGTTTGGTTAGAAAATAGAAGAGGAGGAAAAATAGCGTTTTCTCACAAATATATCCTTAATGATGTTAGAAATAAAAAACTAAAATCTACCTCTATCTTATAAGAAAACCATGTTGCCCCTTTGCTTGCAGCCACGTGGCACCTCTCAAAACTCTCCATTTTGCTCAAAACGGCGTCGTTTATGAGATGTTTTCCAACCAGCCTCTTTGCATTTTTTTTCCTAAACTACCCTCACTTTAGATTGCATTTTTAGGATATTTTCGTCCTTTACATGTGACAGGCTATTTCCCTACCGGCAGAATTTCCGCACACACGCAAGCTCTCTTTCCAATCTACCCACTCTCATCATTTTTCTTTTATTTCTCTCAAACTCATCCTTTTCCACAAAAATGAACCCGATCTCTTTGATTTTCCACCTTCAGCATTACAGGTTACCTAATCCCTTTTATGCAGAGAACAACGGTGGATTCCGATATATGCTCTACGCCGCCACGCTCGACCGGACCGACTGGATCGGCTTAGGCGAGACCACAGCCAGTCCGACTTCTCCGTCACTGCTGTCGATAGGTTCGTATCTATCTCCCTCCCCTTTCTTGATTTTTCTTAAATTCTCGCTTTCATCTATCAATTTTTTCGCCTGGTAAATTTTGTTCTTTTTTTTTCCACCTCTCTTATTCTGTACTTTGTTTAATCGCAATGTTCGAGTATAGCTTTTGTATCGATGATGGTTCACTCTGTTTCTCGTTTTTCATTTGGGCTTTTGATTTTTATATGCATGCATTTACTATATAGCTTTTATTTTCTACTGGCTCTCCTTTTCTTCTCAATTTGTTTGATTATCTTTTTGCAGGCCTGTGATTTCTCTACCTCTCTAAGTTTAACCTTTGTTCATGTGTCTATTTCGTGCACATTGTGTTGTCTTTTTTATGTAAAGGTGAATTGTCACATGTGATAGTTGACTGATGTTTTCAAGAGGATTTAGGGTAAATGGGATTATTGTAATGGTTGAAAGTATTTAAGAATAAAAAGGAATTGTGCTAATTAATTATGTTGACTTTCAGTTTTCTTCCATCAGAGCAATTGAAAAGGTATGCCTCGTTGCCAAACCCTCTCAGGCAGCACGTTCCGCATGAAAATGACTTCCTCGACATTGTCCATGGCTCTCGAGAACGGGACATTGGGCAGGTTGTCTTACAGGCACCCGAGATCGAAACCCGTGACGAGCACATGTCGTGTCGAACGCGAGCCTCTGTAAATTGTTTGTCTCCAGGTAGATAAGGTAAAGTTTGAAATAGCAAAGATGGGACCTTTTGAAAAGGTTCATTTCCTATCTGTACGCACACACGAGTTCTTACAAGAAAGTATTCGCGTTAGCGGGCACGTGAAAATGGTGATAGTGTACACGCTGGTGGCGCATCGCTCAGTGCTGGCGAAGTTCAGCTCCATGCCCACAACGGTGAACGCTATCGCCCGAAAAATCATCGAGAAATTTCCTGGTAACGAAGATACGAACACTTCCTACTAGAATCAAATTGTATTTGCTCCTTTTGGTGGCTGAATCTTTTGAAGAGAGAATCAACATCTTAGAATTATATGCGAGCTGTGATTTATAGGGCTTTTCATTTTGAGTTGCAGTTGGAATTTTTTTTTCATTGTTATTTGTAGATGACAAACTGTGATTGATTTGGAGAAACATATAAATCCTGAGTTAAGCTCTTTGAATTTGGAAATGGATGATAGCTGGAAGAGCTGAAAAATCATGCCATTGTCGTACTTGTGATTTTATTCGTTAGTCGGATCCGAAAAGGCAAGTGTTGCGATTCGTGTTTAAATTACTGAAGAATGACGGGCTGTGTGTTTGTGTTTTGATTTTTATTGGCTGAATGTTATTCTGTTTTAAATAAAGTGAGAGTATTGTTATGAGTTAACAATTCTAATTAGTGTGCATTTGTATAATCTCCCATACATATTTGGTGCAGGAGGAATATAGGGTGGAGGATGATGATGATGATGTGCCAACTATGAGTGGGAACAATGACACGTTCTTTGCAACTGTGGTTGGTGTAACATATCATGTGAATTCGTTTTTGGAATTAAATCTTTTGAGGCCGTTGCTTAGGGCTTGTGAAGCACGTTACTGTAAACCCACTCTCAGGTTCTTAATTGTTTTCACTTTCCTTACTTTTTTCTATTCGTTTAGCAAAATTTTACGTGGTTCAGTATTTTCTAAATATGGTGCTTTGTTCCGCTATTGGTCTAAAATTTTACTTGGTTCAGTATTTTCTAAATATGGTGCTTTGTTTCCGCTATTGGTAGGCTGCTTATATACCATTGACGTAAACTGGTCGTGATATTTGTGGGAGTGCTATCACTTGTTCTGGAAAGGAATTTCTAATGTGTCTTTTTTTAATTATGAGTATTGTTTCAATCATTATTGTGTATAAATTGTATCCCTCAACATCTCATTCGAAAAGTATAGCAAGTCTCCCAAAGTAGAAAATATATATTTATTGCTAAAATTAGTTAGATAGTGTTCCCCACTTGCTTTAGATAACTCAAAGGTTGTAATGGCTATCTTTAATAGCTGGTTATTTTAGTTTTTCTACTCACAATTAAGAAATACATATTACTTGTTTTTTGATGCCCTTGTGAGAAGGATCAACTTGATGACGGTAGGACTGATAAAATATATTGTTTCTAATTAACAGGTTGTTGCCTTTATTTTAACAACTTTGAAGAGGCTTTTTTTCGGACAAAGAATAGGTTAGCTATGAGGGTCTTAATCCTCACTCCAACAAGGGAGTTGGTTTTTCAGTAAGTTTTGCTTCCTATGAAGGAACAAATATATTACTTTTGTGTTAGTCATTTCTTAGGCGGATTTATGTTTTGATTCTTTCTCCACGACTTTGCAGTTTTTGTTACGTTTAAAATTTTTCTCATTCTTCCGTGAGTATTGAGAATACGATAATTTCCTGGTAATCTAGAGATATTACATGATTCATTTCATTTTAAAAACTGTACATGCAGTATATGTATATGTTTTTTGTGTTGGCATTGGAGTTGGGATGTTCTTTGAATGAATCGATTTATTTTTCATTTCTTAGACAAGATATATGCTCTTGTGTTAGATTGCGACCCATTTACTAATTCTTGCAGTTTTCAGTATGGTCTTCAGTTTTTCTTTGATTTTTTTTTTTCCGTTATTTTTTCTTGGGCTCCATATTTACCTCAGGTATATCGTTAGCCAGTGCCTTTAAAATAAGATATAAGAAATAGATATAAAGAAAGATAAGTTACATTGTTGGATAAAGTCCCACTCACATAAGGTCATAGGAAGATAACAATGGTTATTATTTCTTTTTCTTCTTTTAATATCTTGATTTTTTCGTTTTTATCGTCTCTTTGTGTGTGAATGGAAAGTACATATCTTTCAGCTTATTTTTTTATGTCCTTGATTTTTGAAAATTCAGATTCTTTAAAGAGGCGATTGTGGTTGTGACATGACATGTAAGACTGTTTTTAGTAGGGTTGCACTTGAGCCGTAGCGTGTACCTATCGAGTGCATCTTGGATGTCGTATGAAAGGCGTTGGACTTCTTTGAGCCATTCCTAGAGGTTGTTTTTGTTTTTTATTTTCTATTGTAGTGAAATATTGGAGTTACATTGTGCCATGGGCCATGGGTGAATAAGTACTTTCATAGGTTGTTCTGTATTTATCTCAACTTCTTGGTCCAATTAACATGCACTTTCTTTGAAATTTTATAAAAAAAAATTGTATCCAATTCAATCGTTTATATTACTAGCCACTAGCCTATTGCATGTTTGCCGTTTCTATCCATTTAATTTATGTTGGGATCTTAAAAACACACTCGGTCTGATGCATGGATGATGGAAGTTAATATTAATTGATTTATCTAGTGAATATAGATTTTTTGAATTATTTCTCATTATAAATTTTCGTATTTCCCTACTTCTTAAGCAGGTATAAATATATTGGCTGAATAAGTAATATTTTCTCATGCCAATGTCTCTCATTCTTTATATAATGCGCTTGGTGTTCTATTGGTGCTACTTTTATCCACATAATCACTCTTAATACTGGAGATGTAAGAAGTACAAACTGCTTATTCTCGTTGTGAAGCTGAGATAATTCATGACCATGAAAAAATAACTCATGCAAAAATGGTACAATGCGAAAATTTGTGGACGATGCTGTCATTGTCCAAGAATTTATGTGCATATTTAGACTCGTAACGAATGAGCATATCACATTTAGAGTTAAAATTTAACGCGTGTTGTAATGCAGCTTTAGCACTAAACTATTGTGTGTTAAGAAAGAAGTAACTTTTTTTGGGGTACAAAGAAACAAGTGATTTTAAATTATGTTGTAGTTGAATTTCAGTATTGTCAAAATTTTACCTTTAGACTATGAATTAAGGCATTTGAAATTATGTTGCAGTTGAAGTTTAGTGTCGCCTCACATTTATATCTAGACTATGAATTAAGGCATTGTAATAAAATTGAGATTTAACTCGTGCCCATTGTCGTTACTAATGTTTTTAAAATGGCTACGACTATTATGCTTTTCGTTATATTATGAAAATAAATAAAGCATGTCAACTATGCACTAAAATTAATACTCAATCATTAACACACTTTTACAACATAATGTAGAACTCGATTATAGTTTTTTTACATGCTTAATTATGACAATAATTGGGCCGGCTGTGCACAGCACAGCCGTTAACAAACTAGTATTATGTATAATAAGGATAAAATTGTAACTTCATGTATTAAAATTTTTCTTCCCCTCCAAATTCCCCCATTTCTTTAAGAGAGCAAAATGGGGAGCAAAAATGGGGAGGAAAGGGGATTTTAAGTTTAAATTTTACCTTCCCTCCTATCCAACCATCCCAACCAAACAAGAGAAAAATAAAATATGTTCTCCCCTCTCTTCCTCCTTTTCCCCCAAACCAACTGTACCTAAGTGACATGTTTGCACTAGAATACTATTCGGCACAATTATATCCTTTAGACTGACAAATAATCGGTTGCCAATGCATTGTGATTATCATAATATCTTGTAAAAGACATTGTTATTATTTTATTATTTTATCGATCAATCTTGTAATAATATCATTCCTTTTTACTTCTTCATAATTTATGGCATTTTTTTCTAATCTCAATAATTAAATTTCAAGATGTATTCCCATTCAAATCATAGTGCTCTCATTTACCATATTCCGAAACAAAATAGCAAAAATATAAACGACTTTGAGTATGAAAATATGATTATCAGAAATCTCAAAATATTTTGTTGGGGCTTAAAATTATTGTCATCTTCAAATATACAACAATATAGTATTTGCACACAAAAATTATTCAGAAATTAAGATTG